CAAGTTAACCAAAAAGGGAAAGAGGCAAAGGAACAAGAGAAACATGTTTTCAGAAAACACCCTTTGGCTCATGCTTGCCATTTTCTCCCTCAGTGTTGCCATCACATTAGCCTCAGACCCTGATCCAGTTCAAGACTTCTGCATACCAAACCCTAGATTTGGTGCCATGAAAACATCACATGCCAACATGCACTACACTCTCCCATGCAAGAACTCCTCAGAGGTCACCACTGATGACTTTGTCTTCTCTGGCATGAAAGCCTCAGGGAACAACTTCTCAGACACAGGCCTAGCTGTGGTGTCAGCAAGTCCTACAAACTTTCCAGGGCTCAACACTCTAGGGTTGTCTTTTGCAAGAGCAGACATTGAAGTTGGTGGCATCAACCCTCCACACTTTCATCCTAGAGCCACTGAGCTGGTCCATGTGGTGCAAGGAAAAGTGTACTCAGGCTTTGTTGATTCCAGCAATAGGGTGTTTGCTAGAGTGCTTGAACAAGGAGAGGTCATGGTGCTCCCTAAGGGCCTAGTGCACTTCATGATGAACGTTGGTGATGAACCTGCCACGTTGTTTGGAAGCTTCAATAGCCAAAACCCTGGGATTCAGAAGATACCTTCTGCTGTGTTTGGTTCAGGGATTGATGAGGAGCTTCTGCAGAAGGCTTTTGGATTGACTCCTAAGCAGATCGGAACCATGAGAAAAAAATTTGATCCCAAGACAGCTGGGTAGATAAGATGATCATCAAAGGTAGTCATGTTTGTGCATTTGCCTTTCAGGGTTTGAGTCATATCTTGGGGTGTAAGTTTCTTGCTCCTTTCTTTGTGTCTTGAAGAGTTTTCAACTTCTTCTCCCAGTTTTTGTCTCTCGTTGTAGTATTACAATACTATATATTATAAGTGAAGAATATGGAGTGCAGGTTGGTCAAATTACCTTGTATTGAAACTCTTAAGCAGCAAATAATCCCTTCTCTCCTCATAAAATTAACTAAAAAGATAAGATCGAAAGAAAAAAATTCAATGCAGTTGCTCAAGTGTTCTTGTTGTTTTATTTAATTAAATTAAACTTTCATCTTAATAACCTGTGTAATAAAAAAATTATCTTAAAAGTTTTACCAATGCAAAATTAATTCTAATTAGAGAGTAGCAGTAAACATAAAGTCTATGAAAGTTCTGTCCAAGAAGGTAGTAAAATATCTTATCACGATGCTGAAAAGGCCAAGAACAGTGAATGTTAAGCATTCAAAGATTGGAAGCGTGTGCTTAGTAAGCATCAGTGTCTTATTTAAGCACATATTCTTAAGTGTATTAAAAATAAAAATACTTGTTGTAGGGTCACCTGTGAAATTAAAAATTAATATTGATGAAATATTTAAGCACACATGCTTAACAGTATTTAAAAAAAACACAGCTGTTGTAGGGCCACTTGTGAAATTAAAAATTAATATTCATGAAATTAATTGTGGGATTTATTTAGTTAAATTTTTAATACTACTGAATTTGAGAAGAGTTTTTTAAATTATTAAAAATAAAATAAGTAATGTGTAATGTTAATATCTATTAAGTATACGCTTTTTGTAAATACCACATGTCTCAAGAGTCAAGACTCAAGACTCAAACGCAAGGATTTTAATTAAGATAAAACATCTTCCATATTAATTGATCTACTTGTTCGATGGTTTTTATATTAAAAAAAAAAATAGTGAGAGAAAAAGAGCATTGAGTTGGAGATGTTGGGTGGGGGTGGTGAAACTTTGATGGAATGAAGATTGCTTTCGATGTTAAGCACATGAAGATATGATTGATGACAACGAACAGAGCTGCATCCCAACCTAATGTGCGGCAAACTGTTTTATTACTTTACTTCAAAAAGTTGTCATAATCCTGTTTGGATACATTTTATAAGGGTTTGTCGCTTAAGATTTTTCTACTGAAAATAAAACTTACTTTTAATATAAAAGTTCTCAAACAAAATCCTTTTAAACTTGTATTCAAATATGCTGGAAATCATTTTGAAAGAGATGATAAAAGTTATAAGGCTTTTGCAATTATTTAAAAGGGAAAGGGAGTGGGAAGAAGAAATCAGAAATCAAGTGAAAGATATGATAGGCAGCACTGCCAAAGCAAGCACACGACATTATCAAGCTTCAAAATCTATAAATTAATGAAACCACCATTTTTTTTATCCTATTGTTGGCAAGTGGAGGACATGGTTTTGATTACAATTGAGAAAAGCCAAAGCTATATCCAACCTGAGACAACCAGTAACGTGCATGAATTATAAACTGCATTCAATTCTTTCGTATGCTACAATTTTGCTTCTGAAATTTGATGGGTGACATTATGTTTACGTCACAAAGAAAAGGGTACAAGGGACTAATTAAAAACATTGTTGACAATAATTTATATACCCCTTTGGAGAATTTGGACAATCTAGCGAATTAAGCCAATGCCCTAATCCAATAACTAAAACCAGACAATCTAGTTAGACATATCCACGAACTATGCAGAACCTTTCAGCAGTAAAGCAAAGCACTGAATCATTTTACAAGGAATCCGTTAAAGATAGCAATCCTAATAAGATTTATTCAGGCAAGCATTTCACATCACATCATGTAAGAAATATCAACACAACCATGGAATAAATAAACTTAATAGAGTCCAAGACATTCTGTCTTTAACCTTAATAATTCATTTGTTGTTCTACTAATGTCAACTACACGGCGTAAACAACTGATTTTTGGAATGAAACAGTCGGTTAAAAGCCAAACATAGTGAGAGTTGATAAGAATTGCATCGTGGTGAACATTGTTCTGCTTCCAAATAGTAACCAAAGCCTAAAACTGGTTTTGTGAAATAGTACTGTTCATCGCCGTTTATAGAGAAACAAATCAGCTTCTCTTAAACAACTTTCCACACACAAGAAAAAAAGTCCATACAATTATTAAGTAATTCGATTCTCCCTACCGTTAGGTGAATGTTTGGATCTGCGTACATAAACCACATCCACTAGAAATATCACGTCAACGTACATAGAAGCTACAATGGCTTGCATTTGCAAGACGTGGATAGAGACAAACATGACACTAAAGCAAACATGCACTAAGTGTACTCAATGTTGTTCAAAGTTGATAATACATCATTCTGTTCAACAGTTTGAATTCTCCAAAACTGAGATATGAAATGCCAAAACTGACTTGAGATAGACAGTAACCAACATAGAAGCCTACATCTCACAGACAATAACCCACACAGAAGAAGCCTACTTCGCGTGTAAAAGTGACTTGATGATAGTATCACTCATTCCATCAGCATAAACAAACAAGTGACCAGAACCTTGAAGTTCATGATATTGAATCCATGGAAGGTTTTGCGCTATGTAACGTTGCAGTGTAACTGGAACCATCACATCCTCGTCTCCTTGCCAAAGATGGACAGAACCTTCATTATTTGGAAATGGGTTTTCAAGATCAATGGGACTATATTCCCAGTTACCAAATCCAATATTTAAGTCACGGTGGACAGTTTCATAATCACCTTGCTGTCTTACCTGTGCCTGTGGAAGCCACACAACACAAATTTATAATTAAATCTATCCTGAATTGAGGTAAGAAACCTAGGTTTTAGGGACTTGAAGCTAAAAGTTTTTCATGCCAATATTCTAACTGAAACAATACGTGTTATTAGATATTATGAGGGGATATTTAGTTGAAGACAAAACTACAGAACATCAAGACCAATCAATAAAAATGAGGCTAATCAAATTCAATGATTCAATTAATCAACCACTTCTCAAATGAACCCATTTCTCACAGTACTATTTCTTTATTAGTGTTTTAGCATTAGTCATATAACTGTAAAAGCAATATCAAAAGGACAAGCTAGTAAAGCATTATCAAGTCAAATAGTGTGCACAAGTAACAAATTATCTTGTTTTACACACAGCAAAAGTATTTTCCTCAGTAGGTCGGATAAACTCCATGGATCACATGATGTCATTGTGCAATGCTTCACTTCAACAAGAGAATAATGCATAGAATTTTAGAATTTCCACGTTCCTTAATTACAATGAAGCCTTTAAAACTAAATTTGCTACTCAAAGATCCGTTACAAATTGCAAAACAACTTAAATAAGCTTCAGGCAGTTATTCATGGGATGCAGAGAGAAATTGACAAATACAAGACAATAACATCATGAAGATTGATTTACCTGCTATGCCAAGTTAAACAGGTCAACAGTGGCATGCTCTAAAAATTTTCTAAATAAATTGCTTAGGTAGTTTGAACTTTGAAAGATAAAAAAGAATACAGAGAAAGGGGATTTGACAGGAACAATGCACCAAAAACCTCTAGCACAAACAGACATTTTGCTTCTCTGATAAGAATTTGCTTCAAAATATTTCTCATGCAACCCATTTACTCTGCCTTAAATTGAAAGATGATGTATCATGTAAATATGCATCAAGTTCCAACTATAAAGTGATACTTCAGTTCATTTTTCATGCTATTCATGGATACATGATAAATATTTTTATCATATATCAATTTTATTAATTATTACAAAAAGCATCAAAGTATAGTTAATAACTATACTAGGTATACTTTAATAACTATATCTTCTATATATGTCAAAAAGTACAATACAAACAACAAGTTTATAAACATTCAGCAATGAAATTTCAGGCATTTTTTCCACACAATTGTCCATGCAATAACATGATCCAAACCACATACTTATGAAACAAGGTATCATTAAGAAGTCTAGTATTTGCCTATAAATGTTGCAATTGCATCTACCCCAAAATTGATACTAACATAATGCATTGATGATCATAGTTTAAATACTCTAGTGTATATTCTGTGTTTTATATATCTTTTAATACAAGTAAAAGTAATCAAAGACAAACTACTTTAGCTATTAATTCCAAAAACCATAAAACTTTTTTTTATCAGTATAATAACATAAAAAAAACAAGAACAGAGTGCGAGTACAAAGAATTCAAAAACATAAGGTGGTGTGCATTGGCTACAACCAACTTCAAAAAATGCAGACATCCACACTAAATTAAACAGCTAAAAAATCTGAATAAGACTTGTTTTGGTGGTCAAATCCACCAAATTCAAAGAGAATATATTCACAAGTCACAACATGAGTTTGTTCAGTTGGTAAGAGTTTTGATCTTTGGCAAAACAATCACCAACATATTTCAAAATCAAATCACATTTTATGAATTTAACCAATACAAATTTATCAACTAAATCACACACCAAATTGCACTCAGAAAAAATTCATAAATTTTGGAATCACCAAAGTTTAGATTAGATACTTACCAAATAACTATTTCTATGAGACAACTTAGACACAAGTTCTTTGTCTTGATGAGATAAAATATGTGGACTATGAGCAATTACACCAGATCCTGGAAACCATCGTTGAGTGTTCCACCAGTAAGTTAGCCATGGCATGTAGTGTGCGACGCGAAGCGCCAATTGGTCTTGTAATTTATTTTGATTATAGGCTTCAGTAGTTAAGTTTGCAGGAAGACCAGCCCACCAGTAGTTGACAGCTGGGGCTACAAGTACTGCACCTGCCAGCCTGTCAGAATTGAAAATTATTTTTTCAAAAGGAGGTTGACAGTGGTACCTCACACCACTAACATGTATAGGCAATCAAGATGAATATTACAAAAGAGCAAATAATGCAATGAAAAAGAAAAAGAAATATTGGTGATATGTTGCTAAAAAAATTACGTCAACAAACCTACAAATATCCTAAATAAGTCATACCTGTGAGGTATATACTTAAGGCAGTTCCAAGCAATTTGACCACCCATGGATAAACCAACCACGTAGAATTTGGACCCCAATCCCAGCTGATCTGCAAGCTCTTCTATATCTAAAGCTATGCTTTTTAATGTACGATTTGGATCAGGATCACTTTCCCCATAACCAGGTCTGTCAAAAGATACAATGTAGATCCCCATCTCCTCAACAACATCCTGGAATAAACCATCTTAAATATAATAGTGCAAACAACAACGGTATTAGATAATGCTATGAAAAACAGTAAAGTGTAATGTTAATATTTACAGGCGATAGGTTATTGGCAACCGTGGCGTCATGCCTGCAACTATCAAAACCATGGACATAGATGATTTTATACTTGGCTGCCTCTTTTGGAACACCGTGCTCTTTGTATGCCAAATACCTTCCGTCTCTTAATTTGATTCTTGATGCTGTTATAGGCGGTCCATCAGGAGTGCCACATATCTTGGGAGGAGGAGGTCGACTAACCTGATAAGCCCATGCTAGAAACCCAATAAACAACACAGCTAGTGTTGTTCTAAGAATTCCTGAGAGTTTGTAAAGCCAAATTAAAAAATAGACAAATATAACTTAAAACATGAGTATTAAATACCAAGTTGCACTCCACAAGTCAAGCACGAGAAAAACAAAATACAACTTAATAATTACCGTATGCTCCAACACAGGTGAGACTAGCTATAAGTCTCCTAAAGCCAACAGGAATTGGTTCAGTTAGTAATGATCGAAGCACGTTACTTAAAATGCTTGGACTACTCCTACCATTAATCCCACATAGCAAGCAATTTTTAGGTACCATTACAAACTCATGCTAAGGTTTATTTGGATAAATTTCTCCGGAAAAACTTATAGGAGACAAAATTAAATTAGCTTCTCCATAAAATTAAATTGGCTTAAAAATAAGTTTTTGGAGAAGCTAATACTAGAAATTTTCTTCAAATTAGCTAGTGCATAAGCTAATTTTAGCAAAGTTAATTTCATTTTTCCTTCCCAATTTTTTCTCCTATAAGTGTTTATGGTTTTCACAGAAGTTGTTTATTTATCCAGACAGACCCTAAGGCTTGTAGCATACCACTCTTCCCACCACTAATTCCCCCCTAAACTTTAACTAACAAATAAATAAATCTCTTTCTAAAGAAAAAGGAATGAACAAAATAAAGAGTGACCAACTCCCATCAATAACTAATAAGAACATAATTAAAATGCATTGGCAGCTTAAAAATTTATTCATACAGGCATCCAATCAACGATTACCAATTTACATTTACATTATACGGCCAAAGTCAAATCTAAAGCAATTTCCAATTGATTAACAATGTAATGCTTTTTTTTTAGCACCATATTGCACAAAAATCAAACTTGACTAATAAATGAGATGTAGGTATGAGGAAGAGTGAAGAGAGACCTGAAGGGAGAGACACGGAAGAGGTTTTCTTTGCCCTTCTGGTGTGAGCACGCGCTGATGCTGCGGAAATTTTTCTGTTCACTCCGGTGGCCATCTTTGAGAGAAGAAAGACCCACCAACGGAACAGAACGGAAAATCCTCAAAGCTCAAAGATTTATGCGAAAGTTGAAACGGAAACAGAGATCTAAGAGTTGAGAGAGGGAGAGAGAGAAAGGAAGGTTAGAACTTAGAACGTTAGATAATAGAAAATAGAATAGAAGACTTTTAGACTGGGCGACAATAATAACAAGGTTTAAATATTTGGTTTTAATAAAAAATCACAAAATCTAATGGAGCTTACTATCAAATCAATAGAATTTTTGTGATCTTTGAGAAACATTGGTTGATAATAAAATGAATATTACAAAGAGGGTATGATATATATTTTTTATTTATGCATCATACTGTTTTTAAGAGCTTATTTCTATGTGTACAAAATTTTATATCGAATGGAAATGAGAATTTAGTTCATATATTAGTTTTTTTCTTTGTATAAGAAATATATTATTAATTATTTAAAATTAGGTTTAAATATGTTTTTAATCTTTTAAATTTAAGATAAATTTGTTTTTGATTCCTCAAATTTAAAATCGTTATTTTTAATTCTTGTAATTTTTAAAAAAATTATTTTAGTCCCTCAAATCATTAATAACATATATATGAAAGTAATAAATTAAGATGATTATACAATGTCAATTGAATTTAGTGTGATATTCACTAATAAGACACTAATAGGTAGATATTATGCAATAATATTTGATAAATTTATTAAGAAAATTTGAATATAAAGACCAAAATAAGATTTTTTGAAATTACAAGGACTAAAAACATCAATTTTAAATTTGAGGGACCAAAAACAAATTTATCCTAAATTTGAAGGACTAAAAACATATTTAAGTCTTAAAATTATTATTGATGTAACTTTTAGAAAAAAAATATAATAAAATTAATACATATAATATATATATATATATATATATATATATATATATATATAATACATTACATATTGTCTTGTAGATAAACTATTTAATTATTTATTCATTTTTATTTATGTGAAAAAATGATTTTTTTCATGAAGAAATTCCTTTTCTTTAGTTTTTGTAATTTTTTTCGGTCTTTGAAATATATTTTTATTTTAATTTATTAAATATTGAATTCATTTAAATTAGTCTTTGGTAAAAAAATTTATAAAGATTAAAAATAAATAATCAAATGTATTATGACAAATCATATTTTTGTTGGTTATATATAATAAATTTAGGTTAAATTTGATAATGTTTGATAAATTATTTAAACAATTTAACCTCATTTTGAGTTATATTGATGTAGAAATTTAAGTTAGCACCGATTATGATAAAACCTTAAAAATAAAGGAAATGTTATCCCTTTTAAAGAAGCACAATCATGTTATCTTAAGCATGATTGTACATGTAGAGCATCGGACTAAAAAATATCAAGGATCTAGAGTACTATCATGTAGGACTATGCAAGATCATGCAAATAATGAGAAAATACGCCCCCAACATATATGTTGAAAGAAGATAGAGAAATGAGATATCTTTTACCTTATTTTTGAAGTTGGATACAAAAAATATTCTACTTCCTCTTATTCTTAGTTTGAAAAGAAAACAAAGATAGCCTTGAAACAAAAGGAAGGCAACCTTGAATTTTTAGATCAAAGTAGAAAGGATATTATTTAAGGTTTTCTTTTTCCCTCCTTGTATATATCACAATGAAGAGATTATGTCCTTTTTTTGTGAGAAACTAATTCTATAAATAAGATTTGTTTTGTGAAAAACTAATTCTATAAATAAGGTTTGTAGTAGTCATACTTAATTCATATAAAATCACGATATAATTGAGATTTGATGTTTTTCTAATTAATTGAATTATACTTTCATTTATAAAGTTTGTTAACATGTGATAACTATTTGAATCGTTTTTAATCAATTAAATTATTGGCGATTATATCATAATTTATTGGTGGGCATGAAGGACAAATAAATCTTAGAACGTTTAATGAACAAATTACAAATCAAATTTTCAATTATTTTATTTTCACTTATACTAAACCATTTCTTGAGTTCATGTTTTGAATGAATAAATAAGAATCCATTTAAAAAATGAAATTTTCAATTTATGACTAATAATTGACAAAAGATTGGAAAATTTGGCAATTGATATTAAAATGTAAAGTCTTTAATTAGGTATGAGAAAAATGATTGAAAGCACATTGGTGAACTATAGCAACTTGTTTTTATATCAATTGAAATTATAATTTTAATCTCACTTATTTATATTTTAAATTACTACACTGAAAACTCAATTTGATTTGCTTAGACTATATTTGAATTTATATAAGAAAGTGACACAATTAGTCCTTTGGGTACAATAATTTAGACACTGTCCATTGTTATTATTGTAATAGAATACACTTGCCCTTAAGCATGTTATAAATGCATCAAGTTTATGGCACTATTGTTAGGGACTAATTAAATGACACTAGTTAAATGAAATTATGCGTGTGGAGAATATAATTAAATACACTAGAAGGAAATTGAATAATGTCAATTAAAAACTTAACATTTTTTTTTGAAAAACGAAGTAGTAACATAAGCTTAAAAGAATGCGAACAAAGAAAATCAAATCACACAAGATATTTTTATATTAATTTGTTTTAACCAGTGAGACTATGTTCAGTTTTTAATCATGTTTCACTATGTGGAGAACAAAAAGATAATAGAAAGGAGATTGAATAGTGTCCATCAAAAACACACATTTTTTTTGAATTAGTGAAGTAGTATGAAATGTTGTAGGAGTGCAAACAACGAGTTATATCAAAAGAACACAAAATATTTTTATATTAGTTCATCTCAACCATCGAGGTTACATCCAACTCTTGATCAAATGTAGGCATGGCAATCTAACCCGTCCCCGTGGATACCCGCCCGAACCCGCCGCGATTTGGACGGGAAAAACCCGTGTTTATCGGGTTCGGGTTCGGGTTCGGGTTTTCCCCAATTGATAAAATCGGGGGCGAGGGCGGGGACGAGAATGTTAATAC